TCAATACCGAACGCTATTAATATATTTTTACCTCAAAGTCGTTTGTTGTAACTTCGAACATATTTATTAATTAATTATAACAACATATAAATAGATTTACCCGATATACTTTTAAGTTGAGAGTTAAACAACTTGGAGACATGTTTATTTACAATGTAATGGTAAACACAGAGTTTTGATCACGGTTTGTAAGACTTTATCGCTCGGAAGCAGGAACAAAGGAGCGGAGAATTTAGCAAATAATTACCAACATAAGTCCAGCTCTATGCGCTGTTGACAAAGTCTTATACGTAAACACTTGCAGATCCGCAAACAATTTGTATCAAAGCCATGCAAACAACAGCGACAAGTCATATCCCTTATTATAACAGCCGGGTTAAACTAAGGATCTATGACACATTGACAATTTTTACTATTTAACTGCATCTACTTGTACATATGTAATCCGCTACACCTTGTAGGCAAATCGAAGGAATAAAATAGAAGGTAAATGTAACAAACCGGCTATTTAGTTTTCTTATAAGGTATCAACATTTTTTTTCGGAAACATTTCTCATCTAACTAGTACCTTTGTGTCAATTTAAAGAAGTTAATCTTTAATCGAAGTTAATTTTATAACTTTTCTAAATTTTCGTTAAAGGTATTTAACCTAATAGGAACATAATCGCTGTATATTTCATGAAGAGAAACTAAGTAACGGCAAATTTTGCTCAAATTGGTTAACTGGGTTCTGAGTTAAGGAGAAAACAAGAAATAAGAAACTTTAACATCCTGTAATTTTTTTGCGACATTTTTTGTTTAAACACGTTTGGTTAAATCGACACTATTTGGATTCTAGATTATACCCTTCGTTAGGTGACACACTGTATAAATATTTCTACTAAATACAAATGATAAAAAGTATTACAAGTATTATGGCATTATGCAAAACAAACTTTTTAATATTGAAAAAAAATCGGAATATTTAGTTAATAATAATTTAGATATTTAGTAATGACAATATTATAATAGAAGTAGTTTTAAAAATATGGTATTTTTTATAATTAGTCATAGCGATTTAGGTACTTCCTTAATAAAATTTAATAGCGTTTAATAGCGTACATTAACTGTAAAAAAATAAAATACCTAACAGTTTTTTTTTTTAATCGAAAATCTGTCTTACAAATTTGTATATTGAAAGATTTTTAGCTAATTTTTTAAAAAAAAACGCCACTATTTCAATAAGCACATTGTTTTAAAAATCAAACAACACTCCAAAACCTAAAAATGTATTATTTTTATATCTTTTTTAAAAAACTATATATCAAAACGAACCAAATGAAAAAAGAAGGTTTATGACATCTTTAGATTTTGCCAAGTTACTGGTATTTGAAAATATTCAAATGCTCATAATTTCTTGAGTCGTTGATATAAAAATTTGAAAAAATTCATGAAAACTACTCGAAATGGGTATAAAATAATACAAAAAAATCAGGACCTCAGTGATTTGGCATTGAATGTCCCATGTGTTACTCAAAAAGATGATCATTAATAATGATTTTCGTGAAAGATTCGGTGAAAAGTTTATGAACTACAAAAGGTTTTATTTTGTTTTTATTATAAATCAAATTTATGATGATAGATTAGATTTGTTTCGAAAGTGCGTTAGGAAAGATTATGGGCAGCGAGCAAATCGTACATGACATAAAAAAGCAAATTGAGTTTGCTCGGACACCACATTTTATATCAGATTTATCTGGATAATTGAATGTTGCATTTCAGAAATACAAACCAAATCAGCGTTTGTTAATAAAACGTACATTTTTACATTTCCTTTACTGTAAAAAGTATTAAGTTAGTTGACATCAAGTCTGAAATGTGTCGAAAATTCTCTAATTTATTCATTTATATCAAAATGTTGGTACAGTGAAGAAATAACATTACTTTTTTTTAAAGAAAATATTTTATTAACCACAAATAAATAGGTTGATATGCTTCTGAATTTTATAAGTTTGTCTTTTTAAACACGTGAACGACATCTGAATATTAATAGAAATTAAAATTTTAAAATGACTGTCACAATCTTCCAATTCTAATATATTTATTTGTTCTTTTAATTAGATTTGTAAATCATTTATTTTTTTATCAATGACTTTTATCAAGTTTTAAGCTTAGTGTATTAAACAGATGATGTTGCAACTTGTCAAATATTTATTGAACGTAAACAAATGCCTTATCATGTGTATGGTACATATCGATACATTCGAAAGAATGTTTTCATTTGCCAAATATTTGCTAAAGCTATTTTTATACTTATATTTGAGGAGATATTTGTCATGGCGCTATGGATTTTGCCGAAATTCATAGCGTTCCTTGGCTTCTACATACGAGTTTTTGTCCAATTTGATATGTTTATGGCATACTCATTTAACTATATCCTTTGGTAGAACCAACTACTCTACGGGCTATGTGCTCCGGCTAGCATAAAATTATACCAGTAATATTATTAAATACAGCTAGGATCACAAAACATACAATGCACACACCACATATATACCGATTTCGGACTGGTTAGCTCTCATCAGTATGCTATAGGTGCGACAACCGATGAACAATTCAGCTGCTTAGATTACTTAAATCCAGGAAAGGAGTAGGTATAAATAAAATATCTAACTGATGCTACACTTCTTCTTCATCTTCATCTTCATCTAGTGGTTGGTGCTAATAAGTCCCATAGCACTGCGGTCTAATTAGGACTATTGTGCGTCCCACTACTAGTCCTATTCAGCAAGTAGATTTGTTCTTTTTACAAAGTCCAAAAGCTTCCTTGCTGACACTTCTCTCAGTTCCTTGGGTTCCAAATAGAGTCTCCCAAGGAGCGCCATTCTGCTACGTACAAATCCCGGGCACTCGCCCAGGATATGCAGAGAAGTTTCACCCGTCGATTCACATCCTCGGCAGACCGGACTGTCTGCAAGCTTCAGCTTATGTAGATGTTTCCTAAAGTGACAGTGTCCCGTTATGAGTCCTGTCACTCTCCTGAGCCGGATTTTGTTCAAGCTCAGTAGATCATTCGCTCTTTCCTTCGAAGGATACTCCATAAGCTCCTTAGAATGGCTATGTCCTGGCCTTGAAGTCCAATATTTACTGTGTTCTGTCTCAGTCCATTTGCTCAGAGCCCGCCTGACCACGCTGGGAGATGTGTCACAGAAGGGCTCCGGGCCAATTAACTCTGTCTCGGATCCCTTCCTAGCAAGTTCATCCGCTTTCTCATTTCCACAAATGGCTTTGTGCCCTGGCACCCAACACAGTCTGACTGTATTGTTGGTGGCCAGTTCAGTCAGCATTTGTGAACAATCCCACACCAGTTTTGAACTTACCTTGTGTGCGGCTAAAGCTTTAATTGCAGCTTGACTATCAGAGAATATATATATGAGTTTACGTCTATAACCTCTACGCACATTCTCTGCATGCTCTGCTAGACACGCGAAGATTTCTGCTTGGAATACAGTAGGGAACTCCCCCAGACTGTAGCTTGCACTCCATCTGGGTCTGAGTCCATATATTCCTGCACCCGTCCCTCTGGTCATTTTGGAGCCATCTGTAAACCATACTAGGCTCCACCTTTCCAGGGTATTAAACCTTTCCTTCCACTTGCTTTGATCCTCTATTCGAGTCTCAAATGGCTTGTGGAAGTGAAACCTTGGGACCATCTTGTCGTATACCATCCCAAAAGTTGGTTCCGACATAGATGTGTCTATGATCCTGGAATGGGAACCACCCCTCCAGTCATTGTTATTCCTGAGTCGATATGCTGCTAGCCGCGCTTCTCTTTCCACCACTATATGCAGCGGTGGTAGATTTAGCATGACTTCTAGTGCAGTTGTCGGGGTCGATGCCATCGCCCCCGTTATATCTAAACAGGCCAATCTCTGAATTCTATTCAGTTTTTCCCTCGCTGTTGTGTTTTTTGCCACCATACCACAGCGCCGTAAAGAATCCTAGGTCTTACTAACGACGTATACAAACAGTATGACATCTTTGGTTTCAGTCCCCAGGTGCTCCCAATAAGGCGACGGCATACACACAACTTCGCCTTACTCACCACTTTTTCCAAGTGCGTATTCCAGGTAAGCTTATTATCCAGTATCACTCCTAGATATTTTACTTCCCTGGAAAGTATAATGCTCCTCTCCCCTACACTTAGTGGCCAATGCTACTAACTACCGGAGACCTACCTTTCTTTTGTAGGTCTCAGGCAGTTAATAACATTGGCCACTTGATGCATCTCTAAGTTCCATCTTTCATATCACATCTTTCATTTGTATGATATATCCTTTTTATTATTAGATAATAGGGAATTTTATGTCAGAAACTAGAAACCAGAGATGGGTACAGTTAAGGTAGGTGGTAAGTTATAGTAAATGCATTCTAACCCTGATTTATAATATTAACAAACATAGATAGATTTTTCATTATACGTTTAAATAAAACTGCTTCTGCAAAATAATATACCTACCTATTTTTCACAATTTCATAAAAACATGAGCACAAATATTTTCTTGGGACATATTTTTTATATCTGTAAAAATGCAAGTACTAAATATGATTTTGGTCTAGATTATTCTGTCAATAATGTGATAATACATAAATAACTTTAATTCCGAGGCATTTTTATGTCACGAAATATGACATTCTATGACATCAAATCTACTACTACTAGTATACTATACTATACTAAATAAAATCTGCATAAACGAGGTAATAAGTATTTGAAAATAAAAATGAATACACCTACTCTATCTAAATTGTATTAATGAAAAGCCCTAAATCATTAAAAGAAAAGAAGAAAGAAAATATGAAATATTATATACCTATCTTGTTCTTATTCCTAATGGCAATGTACAAGGTAAAAAATTAGTCATAAATATTTAGAACAGTATTTCTTAGAGAAAACAATATGAACCTATATTTTATTTAACTTTTTTTTTCTTCAGTGTAAAATATTTTTATTTTTACAGTTTCTCTCGCCCAAAAGCAGAACCTTGATGGTTATAATAAGGTAAGAAAACACTTATTTTGGATATTACACATATATCTTTTTCCTGTAGCGTTTGTAAATTATTCCGTAGATCTGTACTTTTAATTTGTTTCATTAATACTTTTTGAATACGTTTTATATAAACGAAGTAATGAAGTATAGCCCAGTACTAAAATAGATGAATCCATAAGACGAGATTTGTTGGAGAGGTATATTAACTTTAAAAATTAACGTATAATTATTTGAATATCATTAAGTTCTTTTAACGCAAAAAGTTGTATGTATTGAGATTTCGGAAACCATAAGTGAAAGAAAAACGATTAAACTGAGAAGTTCTGTAACTAATGCAATCATTCCTGCAGACTGACTAGCTGTTCAGGTTTCGAGATATTTTAAAAGAGAATTTTTTAAATTTGTAAAGATTTTATTTTAGCTTTTTCTATTGTTCACAACCTTCATATGTCAGGTATCCCGTTACTTTTGAATTGCCTTTTGTATTTTATACGTTGGCTAAGTAATACTGCAACACACAACTAAAGAACATAAGACATACTGACTACTGACCTACCATCAGATTAGTTTGATTGTGGAAGTCACTGGAACGTCAGCCAATTAGAGAAGCGCTTCATGCATGTAGAGAGTCCAAAGCATTCCGGCCGTGCACGTGCACAAGATGCACATTTCTGGTTAATGTTCTTAATTAATTTTCTCGAAAACAGGATCATTTAGACCATCAGTTGCTTAATAAAAGTTGGTAATTTTCTTGCCCTCTTTCTCCCTTTTCAAGGAACCCACTTATTTCAGAAATACCATGTATACCTAGATGCCAGTTGTGTTCTTAATTTTACTTTAATTTGAATTTCGATAAATGCAAAAGTAATTTGTTGTGCTCTCTTGATAATTATTTATCGTTTATAAGATTTTACTATTTATTATAAAATAGTTTAGAAAGAGAACCTGGGGATGTTCATAGTTTCATCTTAGAAAATGGGATACAGTCGACAATATTGATATAATTTTAGCGACCTTAGAGAGAATGAAAAGATATCACATCGTACACTTTTCGTAACATTCAGACATAATAGGTAAAGTTCTTATAACTTTTATGTAAATATATGCTGAAATGTATCATCTCATAAGAGGAAAGTTTATTGTCTTTCAGTTTAATATAAAGCAAACATTTAGATTTGTTCCGCCCAAGTAGACTAACCTCTCTAAGAAATATCTAGATGCCGCCTTTGAATGGTGAGTTTGCCTGAAACATAATTATATGTAAATATTATGTATTCTTATGAACACATTTAACTACAGTTAAATCTACGTTACTAGTTGTTTTAAGGTGGACAAAAGACCGAAGCGTTTATATTTTTTAGAGATAAGTTCTGTTGCAAAAAGTTTGGAATACTACACTTTTGAATACTTCGGTATTCTTCCAACAACAAATAATCCTTTTTATTTATGTCTTGTAATACTGTACCTATCGGAAATCCTAAATAATATATCGAAAACTTCACATCACCACGTTAAGACACTTTTGACAGTAATCTATTGATTAACAAGAAACCTTAATTTCGTCCTCACGTCGTTTTGAGAATATTATATCGACGATCAAATCGTCTTGCAATTTGCTTGAAAGTCAACAATACAAAAAGTACTAAACTTTGTGTACTTAGGAACAAGTTGGTATAATGTCTTTAGGAAGCAGTATTTAGTTGGAAGTCAGAATTATTTCTTGTTGGTATAATGTGTTTAGGAAGCAGTATTTAGTTGGAAGTCAGAATCATTTCTTTTCTCTCTTTGACTACGTACACTGTTAGAAACCAATAATATTATAAATAAAAATTCAGGTGCATTTATTCTATTTTCAGGATGTACATTTGTTCTATTTTTGTATCCTAAGTTCCAATGTTACGTTTGTGGAGTAGTATTGGATAGTATCTGACAGATTTAGAAAGGTCATATAACCACTCCTGTAGTGTTTATCTTTGACATAATTGACCCAAACTTTTTTGTCGTTGTAGTTTAGTTTAATGACCCGACTGACAAGTACGAACGTATTAGGTAAGATTGTGATGCAAATGTGTAACAATGTCCACATTTACCCCTTAAGAGTATTGTGATATAAATGCATGCATATGTTTGGTACAAATTTCCCGATAGACATGTACCAAACCACAATGACTTCATAATTTGGTCTCAGAGTAATCCGAACCTAACAGCGATAGATTTTTTTCTATGCAGATATTCTTCGAGCTTGATCAGTATACACTCAAATAATTAATAGTAAATAAGATCTACTTCAAGTTATTGACAATGCTACATACATAAATGTGAGCGATGAGATACGTGCGGTGGTATACATGAACATCAACGTCTCTAATGCAAGGAACAAATCTTTCTACATTTTCACTAATAGTGCCTGTTTTATACGATCTTAAGCAAATTATTTCCATGGGTAGTGTATCCGTAGGGGGTCTTTCACGTAGGTATGCATTTTTTATTGTACATTTCTTGGTGGAAGACATTTATCCATATTATTTTTGGTACATTCAAATAAATCTCCCTGTTTATATGAATTAGTTGACAGTGAATTGGGAAAATTATAGGTACATTTATGAATGTGTACATGGCTCTACGAAGTCAAATAGATTTGCTATTAACGCTGTTGAATACTTGCAAAATTTATACTCAATTTTGGACTACTTTGAAAGAACATTGTACAAGCATTGTACCCAGTTTGAGATGTTCATCCTGAAATGTTCTTGATTAATTCCCTTTTTTTATTTATTTTGACGAAACAAATCGCTATTGAAAGTTTATTGCAGTGTCACTGTTACATCTTGTATTTTCTAAAAATATAAATCGAATAGTTACAATAGGTAATTTTGTCACGGACATCTTTGATGTAGGTTTTGATGGTTTCATTTTAGAAAAGGAAAAATATATAGGTATGCAGTAAAAAGAAAGTAGCTTCAATAGTATAGTATTAATAATGTGCTTTTAGATCATCAATAAATTACAACTTTTTGACACGAATACACTATTGTTTCGGTTCGGGAACAGTATAGTCTAATTTATATATAACAGAATGGCACGGCTGATGAATTTTTTCCACAGAATTTATAAATCAGAATTTAACAACTACTTTCATCGATAATTTTATGGCGATTAATTATTAACAAACTCCCCTTTTGTTAATTAAATGAAAGGGAGGCATTAAACTGAGATTGTGTCGAGAAATTTATCATAATTTAATTTCAGTTAATTTACGGCAACGATTTAACGCAGCTATTCAATAAGCCTTAATTTGGTTTGAAAGGTTAATTTGTTTCCCTGCAAAATTCCATTTTTAACCGACAGAAGGTATATTTATTTACCAAATTATACTCTGGAGAAATAATGTGCTGTTAATATTTATTGAACGTTAAATTTGACATTTATTGGCCACAAAAAAAGATTAAAAAGAACATTTACAATAAAATATAAAACCCGGATATATATGCAGAGAAAACTGCTCAGAGACGTTGCCACAAACTTTAAAAAGCTTTTTGTCTTGGAATATCTTTATTTTCTGTTCAATGAAGATGAAACAAGAAATATTCCAGTAACACTTACAGATTTCAAACTTGACATCGTACAGTTCTCTAACATTAGTTATCCACATAGAAACCTTTTAAGTGACGTCGGAATTAGGACGAATTTGAGATGTTTCTTGCATTAAAAAATCTATCTGATCTTAGAGAATATTTTCTGGAATAGATTTGAACATAAATTTAGATGTCAGTCCAAATTGCACATTTTTATCTTGCTGAAGAGAACTTCAACATTACTACTTTAAAAATTAAATAAAGTCGCTGACATTAGAGATACCAGTTTTATTTTAAAGACTTTTTTGATGAATTTAAAAATCGATGTACCGAAGCCGTTGTAACGAAGTGATTTTCAGACAGAGTTCTGAGACATTCTGCATTTTTGTTTCTTTATTTTATTTTAATAAATACATACTACAGCACCGCCATATGAATTAACCCGATACGGCGCACAGTCGGACAGAATCTCAAAAAGCTGGCCAAAACCTCAAAAACCAAGGTTTTTTTTCGGGTTTTTCTTGTTGAGGAATGTGAAGTAGGGATATCGAGGGTCCCCAAACAGCCGTTCTCTAGGCGCAGGCATAAGAGTAACTAAATAAGAGGTTTTTTTTTCTGTGTCTTCTGCCGGCAGCAGCGGCCGAGTACGCCATCTGTAGCTGATGTGTAGTGAAACGACACACACACAGACCATAAAATAATTAAGGAAACTGCATGGGAAAACACAATTAGAGTAATCTCTAATTCTATTATCTAATAGATGTCGCTGTATCATAATGGCGGTAAATTTAAATGAATAAAGTACACCGAATAAAAAGTATTTCATAAGTAATAGATCACAAAACAGTGAAACTAATAGTTGAAGTTAACAATTAAAATTAACGTGAACCATAAACAGCTGTTCCATGACCCATTACTTCTGAAGCACTTTAATTATGTTTTAACACTTTACGGAGTGTACATTTTTTACTTTGTTGTCTTTATGAGACTGAAATTGCCAAGACTGAATTTCTTCCAACATATCATTCCAAAATGTAATATGTGCTGATTTCTTAGTAATAGATGACTTTAAAAAACTGCAATTATTTAGCTGAATGATACGAGAATTTAAAGTATCAAAAAGATCATTAATATCATTCGCAAACTCTGCTGTATGAATAGCCTCAGCAGGTATGCCAGTAGTGGAAATACTCACCATTGTCTCAACTTCATGAGCTACAGATTCACTTGATGTTTGTGCTGGAATTTTTACTTTAATTTTAACATTACTACCATTTAATTCGAAATAATGGTCATGTATCTTTCGTAAACCTTGGAAGCGTCTAGATTTATCAATTTCATAACATTTTACTATGTGGCTGAGTTTTGCTGTTTTATTACGCGAAAATTTAATATTATTGTTATATAAAGCATTTCTGGTCTTTTTAAGCAAAT